TATATATATATATATATATATATAGTTCAAAAATACTTTGAAAGATAAAAGATCGAGCTAACAACCTTCGTCGATACGCCGCATTAACATTGATAGTACTTGAAGACAGAATTTAACTGAGAATAAATTGTTCGCGTACCAATCCTTTCCTTCATCGTTGTACTTGCTTAAATTTAAGTATCTTCCTATTGCATCTTGACTGTAAAACGGTAAGATAAAAAAATAAAAATGCTCTTCGTCTCATTCTAATCATCTTATGATGATGCTATCGCAGGGTTTCCTTAAATTATCCATACTTTCTCTCTCTACAGTTGAATTGCAATTTTAGTATAGCATATATAATAAATCTCGTATATTAATTTTACTATCTTTTGATCTCCAATTCGGAAAAAAATGCTCAATTTGAAGCCAAATAATTTAAGTTCTTAAAATGAGAGTCTTGGAATCCCTGTGTGTCTCTAAATAAATGAATCCCATTCAAAGATATATAGTATAGTCGTACTAGATAAAGAGAGCACACAAGCTGCTGCAATTAAAGTTACAGCAAGTTTGCAATATCGAAAATCTTACCAAAAAAGTAACAATCCAAGAGGATGACAAATGATATGTAAATGTTCGAGAAAAGTGTTCTCCAAACTTTGCATCGGTAATTCGTGTTCGATCCAAAAACCAATTGCACTCTGCAATATTTCACATTTCACGGTATTTGCATTATTATCGATACTTTTTAAATAAAACTTTAACGCTTTTATCGTTTCGTTGACTATGTAATTCCTTTGAGAACGTGAGGCCACTTTGTCCGAAAACACAGTTTTCTCTTCATTTATGTTATCGCGTCGATTGTCATTGTCAGTCAACATTGTCTTCGTGTAAATCGATCGAGTTGAATTTTGTGCGGAATTACGAGTGACGTTTTTATGCCGCAGAAGCGAATCGTTTTCATTAAAAATAAGATTCTCAATCCATTCTTGTTGCTCATCTTCGTTAGTGTTATATTCGGCGTCGGAGTGATGATTTGCGTTAACGTTTGGCGAGAGATGGTCATTTTTTCGAGTTTTGCATAATTCCTCTAGACCACCTTGACAATCAAAAGAATATAATTCCTGTGCGAGTGTTTGCAAGTTATTCAACGATCTACTCGCAGAAATTTTTCTCCAGCTTCGAACGACGCTGTTTTCCAAGGTTTCCATAAGATTTTTCTCCGCTTGTCTATTAAATAATTCAGTATTTTTCTTGATATTTCGGGACGACATGGAATCTCTCGTCGTAGAATCTATGTTTTGTGTTGAACTAATCTTTGTTGTGGATTCTATTCTTTCATATGGAATTTCTGACATTGAATTTTTGGGTGACTGAAGGCTCAACTTGTGTAACATCTTCAACTGATAAGTAAAAGCAGCCAAAACGTCATTTTCTAATGCTGCAATTTTAGAACAGGCCTGATAATTTTCCAATTCGATGCACTGCAACGGAAAGAATTCACCATGTAAAATTGTTTTAGTAGCAATAATCGTTATGCGTCACATTTTGTTTCAATTACAATTCAAACATCCAATTTCATAATAAAATTAATTGTTAATTATTAATGTCACACATCACTTTGGAAAGAAGAAAACGAAGGCTTGATAATATATATCTCACGTGTTGCGCTCTTCTCAATAAAAGCAAGATGGACAAAAATCGATACAAATATAAACCAAAAAATGGAAAAATTCGCACATTACTTTACGTGTTTATTTAAAACATTACGAACAACGAAATATGGAAGATGCTGATAATTTACGAGAGGTATCAATTATTTGACTACAATGATTGGATGATTAAAAAGGAATATTTCTTTCTTCTTCTTCTGAATTTCATTGAGTTATTATTATGTCACGCCTATTAATCATCAGATAAGGCAATCAACCAACCTTTTCTATAATATTGACGGAATTATATAAACTGTAGAAATGTTCCAGAGCATAATGAAGTGTCAATTCTCCAGGTGCTTTTTCGATAACGCTCAAAGGACGGACGAATCCGGCAAGAGGAAACACGTCGCTAGATCGATAAGATATCACTGGGGTAGAAATACCAGGTACTTGACTAGGAACGTCCAAAGAAATGTGCAATGCATTAGGGAGTCGTACTATTCGCTTTGACGATTTCAGCAATACGAGTTTATCGTCGGTATCGCGTGCTTCTTTCGCAGGAATGCGACCCAATTGCGCTCTGCTGTTATTGCCCCAAGCTAATACCGTACCTCCTAAGAAATAAATTAATGTATAACATTTATAATACACGCGCGACATTTTTATTTTCCAAACCATTAATAATATCGTGCATCTCGTGTATTGTGGAAGAGAAGAGTAGTTATAATATGATATTAAAAGGTTCAATTACACATAAACTGCGTAATTTACATTTTTTGGTCAGATTTAATTAGTTTTATATAAGAGAATAACAAGTTATTAAATAATTAATAACTTTATTAAATTTGATTGAATTTAAAGAGATTTAAGGCAAGACTGTATTTACGTGTGTCAAATGGCGTGAGATTAAGGCGGATAATATTTAGTTATTGAAGATATTTTGTGCGTGTATGTATTACATGCATGTATATCTTGTTTCTTTTATAACCTGATTGTATCGCGACCGTATAATCATATCCACAAGCAATGGCATCAGCATTAATTACAGGATTGATTCTCTCTTTATTTAGGCCAGTATTTCCTATATGCATCGACGAATCACTGATATTCCCATTGTTCTCAGGTATATTTCCGTTATTTGCCAGTGAATCATTCGACTTGGCGCCAGTGTTCAAGTCTCGTTGATTTTGCACTCTTTTAAAATCATTGTGTCTAGGAGGTATTTGTGCAAAAATACAGGCTGAATTATAATATAAAGGCGTTGGAATTGGCACTTCTCGTCGTGTGCCATTACCTATCTGACCATCCAGATTGCGGCCCCATGTATATAAAGAGCCATCTTTTGTTATCAATGCATTATGATGACAGCCAGCTGATATCTGCGCAAATTATCACAAATTTACATTACATCTACATAAAGTGGATGGACAATTATTTTCTACAAACGTCACGAGCTAATATTCTCCGCACGTTTAATTTAAAGATACATATATATATATATATATATATATATATATATATGTGTATGTATACTCAATGGAGCGCATGAAATATAAAGAGACGATATTACCAATTTTGCTCGCCGTTTGATTCGATATTCGAGCTAATGCAAAATTCACTCGTGGAATGTAGCGTAATATCGGTTAAAAACAGCACACATATAAGCAGTAGTAAAAATATAATCTTAGCC